AATCAGTTAGCAGCTAGTCTACACGCATACGTCTAGTCACACGCACACAAACACCGTGCCAAAGTCTGCCGAACTGAAACGACGTTAGACGATGCACGGTTTTCAACGCCGCACCGCTGTGTCGGTCGGAGTGGGGGGTGTTAGGTTGTAACGTGATCATGTTATTTTATCTATTTTTTATAGTGTTTTAAGCTCTAGATTTTGGGGAGTGGGTCAGGTTATTAAATAACTCGTATTACTTTGAAAAGAAATGTTGAGCGCCACTATATTTAAAACTTACTAAACTTATGGATTAGTGATAAAAATATAGAAAATCACTAACCATTAAGATATGATAATTAAAAAAAGGCTTAGATAAAGTAGCAACAAATTCTAATTCACAGAGACTTACTTATTCAAATTTATATGTTTTATTCAAGACTTATCTGAATGACATGAGGTAGTAAATAAGGAATGACTGTAGAGGCCTTCTTCAAAGGGATTCGAAACGATACTCTTCGGATAATACAAATCTTCACAAACTTCTTCAAATGGAACTCGAACCAAACCTCTTGACACAACTTAAAACCTCCTTATATGCAGCTTGAACTGAACTTCTAAAACTTCTATACTAGTAAATTTCTATAAACTTCTATACTTCGATAACTTCTATATCTTCTAAAACTTCTATTAACCATCTAGATATAGCCAGGCTACAAAGGAAAAGGTAAAAATATCAAGAAAGGTAATAAGAAATTTAAAGGAACCAGATAAAATGCCTTTTACTGTTAATTGAACAATTAAAACTATTAAGTAAATAGCTTCACAGAGACTAAAATTAATATGAAAAGAAAAAATCTTATTTAACATAATTAAAAATAGTAAAGCATATTATCTCTTCAAAAAAAAAATAATATTAAAACCATACAAAACGTTTTATCATGTGTTACCCATGTATTTGAGGTTATGTTTAAAATTTTACATTTCATTTAAGAAATTCTTGTACTAAATATATATTTTCAACAATATATCGGTATAATAGCTTACCTTATAGAATCAGACGGCCTATACAATTGATAAACTTTATTTAGTACATCGGATGACCCAGATAATTTAAAATTTTTAAATCAACCTATTCGTTGACAGATACAAAATGAATTACCAACTTTAGACATAAGGCATAAACGACAAATGACATTTGTGTAGAGATGTTGGTGTCAAAATAACGAAAACGGTTCCGACCGTTACAATGTTTGGGTCTAAATAACGAAAACGGTTTCAACCGTTACACCCCACTACCTCCGGGTACAAAAAATAGAGGTATCAAATAATATTGCTAAAAGCATAAATTCTCAAATTATAATTGAAAAAAGAATAAAGATATACACTTTTACTACTTGTATTAAAATATAATTTAAACTTAGTTCGGAATCAATTAGTTATGCAATAGTAAGGTACTTAACACTATAAAGAAGAACACGAAATGCTAGATAATATAGTTCAAAGTCAACTTAGGTATTTTAAGATTGAATTTAAGGCAAAGGTAAACAAATTAAAATATTACTCAAATTTAATAACAATATATATATATATATACGTAGCCAAATACAAAAGCGAGGCCCGATGTAGTCAACACACCACCCGAGGCCCTCCTGAAGGAGTGATTTTTTGAATATAAATTTTAATGTTTTAGAATGTACTAATAATGTTAAATTATAACGCCACAAGAGGGGTAATATATTTCTAAAATTTAAACATACATGTTTGCAACGTGCATGCGAGTCCCTTAACAATGTTTAACTGACATGAGAGGCCTTCTGTTTATAAATTACTTTTTCAATATACATACGAGTCCCTGCGACGTTGTCAAGATGGGCCCATAAAATTTGCCCTTCAAAAGGTTTGACTCGAAGAATGTTTACAGATCTTTACAACAAATCTCTTTTCTATGAGTTCGCGCGTATAGTGGTATAATAGGTTTGTTCCAACACGTGCGAAAACGGTAATATTACGATACAAAGTATGCGGTCTGTACAAAAATTGTTTACAGCGTTTGACTTGTTCCGAAATATTATCGATTCCACTTTGTGCGTTTTTAGAATAATCTATTTTACGGAGAGAAAAATGTTATGTAGAGAAGTTGTAGGTATTATAGAGATGCCTATAAAAGGAGATATATTATATCTTTATTTGTTTGTTTTGTTGTATTCTAAATAAAAAAAAAAAGCTTGGCGAGGGTATTAATTTAAACTATATCATCCGTTTAAAACACTAAATCTCTGACTTTAATTATTGTTTTTGCCCTCTAACATAAAACATTAACAATAGTAATACAGACAAAACAAAACTATAATTTTAATCGTGAATCTGTCTCGCTCAACGCTGGGTTCCAATGATTTAATTACGCTAATTTGACATCAACACAGATTTTGCCAAAATGAGGAATACAGATTTTTATTTTTACAGAGGGTGAGAGGAATAATTTATATTGCCATTTATCTTTGTCTAGAAGATTAAGTGAAAATATAGACATTTAAAATTTTAAAATATATTTTTTTTTAATTTTAAGTTAAAGCAAAAATATAAAATTATTCAAAGAAATGTTTCTAAAGTTGGCTTTAGAAAAATTTACGGTCCAAGCATTAAATTTTTTTCTTTTTAAGTTTTATTTTGAATTTAATTCAGAATCGTTCGTAGTTATTACGGACATGGGACATGAATCGTATCTTTATATTTGTCGATCATGGCCTACTTCAGAAACATTTTTTTTAGATAACTTTTTTTGTAAATAAAGTTCTGTGTTCCGCTGGAACCACTGTTTCAAAATTTGTTTTAGTTTTTATGGAAAACAAAGCAAACATTTTAATATCACTTTTTTTAAGCTTTTAAGAATTTGTATTCCTACTTTCTTTTTATCAGTTTGAAAGAGCTCACCTGCTAAGCGATTCCGGTCTAATACCGGGACCGGTTAATATCAGTTCTAAAGGCCATCTAGGCCCGCAGCTTTTGATATAAAATTCTTTCCCAATTTACGTCATTTTGACGAAAAAAAAAATATATATACAGGGTGAGTCGGGAGGAGCGCACCAAACTCTAGGAGTATATTATACGCGTGAAAATAATTTAAAAAAATTCATATGTTCTTATCCGATTTTCATTTGTTTTCAAGTTATGGCGTAATTAAAAATGTTCGTCTAGCTTTCCACTTCTGAATTTTAACATTATCAAAGTATGCCATATGTTCAAGGCTCAAAGGCATTTGATAATTCTGACGGTTTGATGAACTGTCAGTGTACAGTGAACAGTAACTGAACGTTTAATTTCGAATTTATGTAATTGTTAGTGTTGCAAAATGCCAGATACTTATTCAAATTTAGAATAAGAGAATTTTTATGTGTAAATTTGTTTATTTGTTAATATGCTATAACTTGAAAACAAATGAAAATCGGATAAGAACATGAGTTTTTTTACATTATTTTCACGTGTATAATATACTCCTAGAGCTTGGTGCGCTCCTCCTGACTCACCCTGTATAAACAACGTATTCTTGTATCTATAACAATTTATGATATAGGGTGTTTACCAGGGGTGTTAAATACCAGAATTCATAATAATCGTTTTCATTAGTTTTGGTGAAAATTGATACACATTTTAGTGACAGTACCTACTTGTGTTAACCAATGATAAAAAAGTTGAATAAAAATATTTTAGAGTAACATTTAGCAATATAGCAATTTTTTATTTTATGAACTATTTTGAATGAAAATAAAAATAAAAAATTGTCATAGAAAGATGAATGGCTTGTTCCTACTTCAGAATTAATTAATTTACCAGATAATAAAGTGACTCTGTATTTGAATAGTTTAGAATCAATATCAAATTTGGATATTTTCGATTTTGTATACGAGATTGGATGCACTGAAAAAGCATATACATTATTACAGCCTGTCAATTTTACGTCATAAAGTCTTCAAGACGTAAGTGACAATGTAAAGAAAATGTATTATTTATATCGATTAATAACAAATTATAAAGAATTTTCATTGAAGATGATTTTTTTTTATTTATTATGTTTGTCATGTTTGTTTTAAAATAATATTGATGTTGAAAACAATATTGGCAATGTTAATGTAGGTAACAATATTGGTAAAAATGAAAACATTTTAATTTCAAAAAATGATAATGTTTCTTTTTTAATTGAAACTAACAAAAATGAAAATGATGGAATCGTTACAAATGAGGTAAGTATCTATATTTTACAGATTTTAAATTATTATTCCAAATAAGTTGAAGACGGATATAAAGGATGAAGATAGGAAGAATAAATTCTTGTACAAGACTAAAAAAATATTATTTAATATCTAGTAAAATTAAAGGTTAAAAAGTCTTATCTTTATTGTAAATCTATTAGAAACACATTTTATAGAAAACTAGATGAGAACACATACGTCAAAAAAAATATTTAAAGTGGCATGTCGTGTTTTGTAGTTAGTTACATGGAAAGGGGGAGACAGTGAATAACATGTAGGTACTTTGTCCCGGTGGTGGGAGCTGTCGTTTAACCTGTCAAATTCAAAATAACGTTTCACATCGATGGAATTTTTCGTCTTAGCTGAAAATAAAATAATTTACTTCTAGACGTCTATAACAATAAAAAAACTCTTCAGTTGCGGAGCAAGACCTAAATTTTATGTGGGCAAGATATATTTTTGCAAGGACCTCTGGAGGCGCAAGAAGACGTATTTTATATAGATAAATAACATTGAAACTTGTATAAAAAAATGCTAACAACTTTTAAGACTTTAACTAATATTTTTAAGTAATTATTACTAGCAGTAAAGAATTACAGAAACATAAATTTCCTGCTTTTAGCTTTACTGAACTCTTGTACCATAATCCAGATTATATATTTGCTTCAATAGATAAAATTGACAATGCTAAAGTCTTTGCTGGCCCATTGTACTTCTTAATTTTTTTATTAGTTTTAATTTTGAAAAGCTCCTTTCAGCAGTTGTACTTACTGGTACTGTTAACAAAATTTGAATAACAATATAAATATTTGGATACATTTCTTTCAACTTATTTTCTATTATGTATTGGAGCAGCTGTTTTACACCTTTATTGAAATCAGGTAAATTTAGGATCATTATTTGTAAATCTTCATAAAATTCGTAAGGTTTGAAATCACTACTCTCACCCACTCGAGAACAGTCCACTTTAAATAATTTTAAAGGTGATGCTTTTAAAAACAAATACAAAAATAAGTCAAAAATCATATAAAGGGGGACGTCTTAGGAAAGAAATAGAAAAGAAAAAAAAAAAGCGAAACGTAAAGAAAGAGAAAGAGCGCAAACAAAAACGCAAAAGACGCACCTTTTAAATGATTTACTTTTCACCTCTAGAATCGAATATTAGAGGAGAATAAAAAAAAGTAAACCAAATCGGAACGTTTTGTTAAATATAATTATTCGATTTTTAGTTTTTAATATAATTATATTGTTTTAAAAATAAAGTAGTTTATTTTTAATATTCTTGCATAGAACGATTGCCAAAAAGCAGTTTTGAATTGACACACTATATGTGCGTAATAGTTTAAATATTTCTCTTTAACGAGCAAAACTTTTAAAGGTTCTAACCATAAAACCATTTTTTTTTTTTTACTTATTTTAGTTCAATGGACCGGTTTACTTTTTATTTAATATTTATTCCTTTCAATCAGTGGATTCTCACATCAAAATCTGTTTATACAAACAGAAAACAAAATAAGCGAATATATGGCCATTTACAGGATTTTACCAATGTAGCATGCCTACTTAGTAAAAATTGTAGTTTGTGCAACAAGAGTAGATATGGACAATCAACTTGAGTCGTACAGTATATTTTTTCTACGACCCACTAACAAAAATCTACAAATTTAAAAAATTATTTTAGGTTGTTAAGCCAAAATAATTAATTTTAAAATAATTAATGAATTTTATTAATTTATAAATTAAAATAAACTTAAAAAAAATTGTCTCGAGCACGAATTCAAACCCGAGCTATTCGCGTGAAAAGCAAATGCTCTGCTCACACCTCCACGGCCACTTTTGTGATTTTAGTTTTAATACTCTTAGTTAAATTAGTTTCATTAAGATTGATAAAAATTTTCAAAATGTTAACCAAATAATACTAAAAATTATATTATTTATCGTTTCTACACAAAAATAACTTTTATTTTAATATATATTTAATCTTAATAACCAAAAAATATAATGGCAATTAGTTTGACAGAGTTAAAATAATAATGGTTGGGTGTCTAAAATATGAACTATGATTGGTAGATTTAATTTTTTTGCAGTCTTCTCACTACCTAGAATGGATATGAAATATATTCGTTTAGTTGAACGCAATAGCATACTTTTTCGTCTTGTAATTTGAGCGTAGATAAGCTAATATCCATGTGGGTGTAGAAAAACGATATTACCTATTTGTTATATCACTACGGCGCCACTTCCAGAGATATACATATATTGGAACAAAAAACAGATTTTGATAATGTTTAGAATTTGACATTCTTTCTTATTTAGAATAATTCGTTATTCGTTGTTTTTTATATTAAAGTTAAAATAGAGAGTGTTTGAAAGTTAACATTCTTTTATATAATTTTTGCTTACATATAGGTAGGTCAGATGTGAGAATAAATATTTTTCATAAGTTAAAGACAGCTGCATTAAACTTTTGAGGCGCGAGAACCTTCAGGCCGCGACGCCGTAGACGGTGGCCCACGTCGCCCACGCCTTGCGCCGTTTCTGAAACCCTTTTTAAGCATTTTTATCGTCGAGTTTTGCTACTTTTGGTGTAAGTTTAGATATTTTCTTACATCGATAATAGCAAAACTAGACGGCGCAAAGGATTTATTTATTGTTATAGACGACTAGAAGCAAATTATTTCATTTCCAGAAACAAATTAAAAATTCCATCGCTGTGAAACATTATTTTAAATTTGACAAGTTAGACGAGAGCTCATACCACCGGAACAAATATTTATGTTGTTCAACCCTCTCCTGTACCAAACTACCAATAGCAAGCAAAAAACACGACATAAAACGGTCGCCTAAAAAAAATATTGTATGCACCTCGGCCGTACGATCATTTTTGGTCTAACCAGCTTGGCCAGGGACGCAAATTTCCAATTCGGTTAAAAAATATCAACTTTACGGCCTTGGTACACAATTATAACAACGGTAACAATAGAAATTATATACAAAACGCTCGGAGTGCACCCTAGTAAGAAATATAATGAACTAAAAACCGTATAAGAGGAGATATACACATTACATATGAGTCCAAAAAAAAAAATGAGATTGTGGTTTTGGGGGGCTGGGTGATGAAAAATAGCTCTATTTACACGTGTTTGACCTGTGAGGCCCGTTTTCGGGCCTCGCATGTGAAAACCGGGCCTCTAATAGTATCTTGCACATGTATTTATGGGTCTCGTATGTGACAACTATAAATCTATATATATATATATATATATATATATATATATATATATATATATATATATATATATATATATATATATATATACAATTAACTACCAATCAAGAGAAGAAAAAAAATTCCTAATAAATGTTTCAGTTAAATAGTCATAATAAATAATTAATTATAAAGGGAAGAAATTCAAAATCTAAAGAAAATGTAGAATATAATTAACTAAATTTAATAAAAAGTAGGTAAAGACATTGAATAAATCACTGCACTAAGATTCAAATAACAAAAAAAATTATAAATATATGTCTATACACTCTCCTAATATGGTAAATGCAACGTTTCAGTTTCAAAAACTTGTACAGAATCATATTAATAACTGATAGATACAGTGTTAACCAAGCAAACGAAAAGAAAATGAAAAACAAAATTTATTAATATAATTCGGACACTCTTCTAAATTATTGGTAATTGCAAACTAGATAGTTTCAAATACTTATTCAAAATTATACCAACAAATAAAGAGAAATGTGAAGAGAAAATTTTCTTAACTAGCAAATTAGGTAGAAAATTTTTTTTAATAAAAAAAAAAATACTATTAGTAACTGAATACATATTACCAAAAATTAAGGTAGCTATTACAGACAGTATTGCTTTAAAAAACATAAACAGTGGCAGACAGTTAAAAGTTAGAAGGTAATTTCTGCTCTGACTCATAAATATTCCGATGGTGTAAAAGGAAAAAATTGACTACAGGCAATATAACTTGGTCGAGTAGGTAATAGCAAAACAATAAGAAGCTAGATATTATTTTTTATTATTCTGGCCTGACATTAAATATTCCATTGGTGTAAAGGAAACAATTGACTACAGGCAGTATTACTTGGTAGAGTGGGTAATAGCAGAACCAAAAAGCTAGATACAATATTCTGGCCTGACATTTAATATTCCATTGGTGTAAAGGAAACAATTGACTACAGGCAGTATTACTTGGTCGAGTAGGTAATAGCAGAACCAAAAAGCTAGATACTGTATTCTAGCCTGACAATATATATATTAAAATTTTAGTAATATTTTAACTTATTAAAAGGAACCTAACCTAACCGACAAAAAAATTTTTACTCGATAGGCACAAAAATCAACTTAAGGTAAAAATTAAAAAAATATACACTTTTTATCAGTGTATAATGAATATATAGCAAAATAATAAATATGTGTAGATAAATATGTGTAAATATGTAAAAATATGTATAAATAAACACTGAACCTAGTACAAAATTCAGATAATATATAAAACTTGACGATACGATAAACAGATTTAGAGAAAAAGTTAAAATAATAAGTAAGAAAGTATTAGTAGAAATATAGAAGACATGCAGTTAGTAACGTTAATTTCTGTGAAATACCTATTTGAATTAGAACGATAAGTTATAAGGAATCTATTTCAAAGTAACGAGCTATTTAACCCAGTAGTTGAGGCGCCATTTTGTAACGTGATTTTGTTATTTTATCTATTTTTTATAGTGTTTTAAGCTCTAGATTTTGGGGAGTGGGACAGGTTATTAAATAACTCGTATTACTTTAAAAAAGAATGTTGAGCGCCACTATATTTAAAAAGAACTAAACTTGAGTATCGATTAGTGATAAAAATATAGAAAATCACTAACCATTAAGATATGATAATTAAATATAATCTTAGATAAGGTAGCAACAAATCCTAATTCACAGAGACTTACTTATTCAAATTTATATGATTTATTCAAGACTTATCTGAATGACAGGAGGTAGTAAATAAGGAATGACTGTAGAGGCCTTCTTCAAAGGGACTCGAAACGATACTCTTCGGATAATACAAATCTTCACAAACTTCTTCAGATGGAACTCGAACCAAACCTCTTGACACAACTTAAAACCTCTTTATATGCAGCTTGAACTGATTCGATTTTTCAATTTTTCGATTTTTCGATTTTTTGATTTTTTGATTTTTCGATTTGTCGATTTTTCGATTTTTCGATTTTTCGATTTTTCGATTTTTCGATTTTTCGATTTGTCGATTTTTCGATTTTTCGATTTTTCGATTTTTCGATTTTTCGATTTTTCGATTTTTCGATTTTTCGATTTTTCGATTTTTCGATTTTTCGATTTTTCGATTTTTCGATTTTTCGATTTTTCGATTTTTCGATTTTTCGATTTTTCGATTTTTCGATTTTTCGATTTTTCGATTTTTCGATTTTTCGATTTTTCGATTTTTCGATTTTTCGATTTTTCGATTTTTCGATTTTTCGATTTTTCGATTTTTCGATTTTTCGATTGTTCGATTTTTCGATTTTTCGATTTTTCGATTTTTCGATTTTTCGATTTTTCGATTTTTCGATTTTTCGATTTTTCGATTTTTCGATTTTTCGATTTTTCGATTTTTCGATTTTTCGATTTTGCGATTTTTCGATTTTTCGATTTTTCGATTTTTCGATTTTTCGATTTTTCGATTTTTCGATTTTTCGATTTTTCGATTTTTCGATTTTTCGATTTTTCGATTTTTCGATTTTTCGATTTTTCGATTTTTCGATTTTTCGATTTTTCGATTTTTCGATTTTTCGATTTTTCGATTTTTCGATTTTTCGATTTTTCGATTTTTCGATTTTTCGATTTTTCGATTTTTCGATTTTTCGATTTTTCG